TAGAGTGACAAGGTGGCTGGTCTCACAACTCAGAAAAACTCACGCTGGAGGCTCATCAAAATGACCTAGGATCATGTGCCAAGGCTATTTATAGCCACTTACGTTTTAAACACATAGTATTAACTTTAATTGCTACGCTTAGCATTTTAATCCCAAACTCAGGATTCTTAACCTACTCAATTTTACAAGAATTGTCATATTTTTATTATATTTTTCTGAGCACCTTTCCGGTACGCGCTTTTCATAGCCAGTATCAGTTTCTGGCACCAGTTCTCATTATTTGGACTTGAAACACGTTTTACAAGTCCTATATATTATTCTAGTAATTATCATGCACTTATTATAATTTTCCGGGATACTTTTTCGGTACGCATTTATATCGACTAGCAGAACCGGTATCTGCACTTTTCTTCCGAAAACTGACTTTCATCATTCTTAATCACTTACTATATTTATTAAAGCCTCTTAATAATTATTAGGGTCAATTATGGAATTATTTCCTAATTTAACATAATTAATTACTTAATTTCAGGTGTGAATTCTTACAGGAGGCACGTATCAAAAAATGCAACATAATTGGGGGGAGCATCTCAAAGTATTTGAAAATTACATTTTTTTATAATTAATTCAAGTTAATCCCTATCACAACATTAGTGAAATATTACCTTCAAATTGACAAACAGACAAGTAAACACATTTATCTCAAAAAAATAGGTAGATAGTATACATTTTAAAAAATAAAATAAAGTACAAAAGTACTAGTAAATAAATGACCGGTTATTAATATAATAAAGTATAAATTTAATTTCAATCAATTATCCAATCAAACATTATTATAATATTAAATATTTTTAAATATATCGATCAAATAAGTTTTAAATACACCAAATAAGGGTGTTGCGCCCAATTTAAATTTTAAAAGATCTTAGCATTTTCAGAAAATCATGATTTTGTATATATTTGTAATTATAAGATATTTTTATTCAGTCCTGAAGCCATTGCCAAATTATCTAGCTCAATTTTTAATTCTAATAAGTATAATTAAAAGCCTTATTTATTTTTCTTACAAAAAGAAAGTATTATTTACTCATCACATATTTATATAGAGGACTACATGCCTCCCGCCAAAATTTTAAAGGGTTTGGTTATTGACTTATTTATCAGAATAATTATAATTATAATAATTATATTATTTATGTCAAGAAAATTCAGTAAAATGTAAGTTTTAAAATGTCAGAATAAAATGTAAGCTTTAGATAATTTTTTGACAAAAATTATACTTATATAAATTAATTTTATATTTATAAAAATTTACTCATCATTTCAAAATAAAAGTATTCAACATTATCTTACCTCATCATCTCCAAGGCTTGGATCATGTAAATATCTTTCTTTGGTGACTCTTGTTTAATCGAATGTGATTTCAACAGTACATTAATGCATTCGAGAACACGATCATCACAAACCTTTTAATTAAAAACACCAAAACTCCGTTTAGCTCTTTCCTTAAGATGTGAATTCAATAGCCATTGTGAATGCTGAAATAGAAATATTTAACAAACAAAAAGTTCAATTAAATTTATAATACCTTTTTTTTTGTATATAAAATTTATAATACCTTTAAGGGGCCGTTTGGTACGCGGCATTTTGTAGGATTCTCGGGAAACTGAATTTTTCTAAATTTTAAATTTTCGGATATTATTGTAAACTGAATGTAAAAATCATATTTTTGAAAATCGAGATTCCCAGACAAAAAAAAAATTTCTCCAGTACCAAACGCCCGTTAACTTTTGGAAATGAGTAACCATTGTAGAATTGAGTTCAGAGATATCCATAATCCAATATGGGTTGTGTAATATTTTGATAGGACTTGAGAATTGTAAAATGACAAAACAACCTAAAACAAAGATCAAAGCAAAGTCAAAACTTAGGTTGGGAAGCCTTCAACAACGAATCTTTTGTTTTCTTGGACTATACAAGGGTTACTGGACATTGGTTGGTGGGATGGTTTGGAGAAAGAAAGATAAAGAAAAGATTGTAGATTAAAGAGAGAGAAATTTGAATTAAGAAAGAAAGGTTCGATCGGAGAAGAACGGTGAGGGTGAGAATTTCGCGGGAAGCGGAGTAAGTAAGGAGATAGCAAAACAGTATTTTCAGTTTAGGAAGGGAAGCCAATTCGTTAGAGAATGAATGTCATTATCAAATGCTTTTACCTCAGTGAAGTCCTTCAACAAATGCCTTTATCTTTCCGGTGCGGTCGCTCTTTTGGCTTTAGCTTCGTGCCCAATCACAGCTCCACTCTTACTTCAAAAACTACTTCAAATCGTCTTTCGACAATGAGGCGGGGGAGAAGCAGAGTCATAAAATGCTTTAGCCTAGTTTTATTTTAAGGGAAAAAGTATGTATTATTCTAAGAGATGTAAGATTATGTCATTTTAAGTGAGAGAAAGAGATAGATCATAGAGGAGAGAGAGGACAAAAAAAAAGATGTGGATCCCACCTCTTTGTGAGTGTGAAATGACACAAGTTGTGTCATTTTAAAAGACAAATTTTTTTCTCTTTTTTTAAATCACATTATTATAATGTTTAGTTTTATGACAAAAATACCTACCTATATTTAACTACACTAACGGTAATTTTAAATCTTGTGATAATGTCGATTGCCAATAAGAATCATTAAATTAGTTATTCCAAGCATTACAACGTCGTTTTTATAAATGAAGTTGAAATTAATGTCTATCATGAGATAATTTTACTTCTTACACATACATAAAAATATATGGGATGAAATTTTTTATTTTTTTCCTATTCTCTTCACATGGCCTTACATATTTTTTTGTCACTGTACGAGATAATATTATCTCCTACAATATGAGAATATGATCCATTATCTTCTTTCTCTCTTCTTTTTAGTGAATCTCAACCACTTTTGTGTTGAGATTTAAAATTAACATTACACATTTATTTTCATTTTTACATGAATCACTCTTCTTTCTCTTACACACTTATTTCCCACAACAGCTCACTAAACCCCTATCGTAACACCTTCCTTTGCCACAGCAGCTAACAGGTTATAATATTTAAAATTATTGTCGTTGCCTTACAGCTAAGCTGATGAGCCATCTGTAATTTTTCTTTTGCCTTCTTGGAATGTTGTTTTGCATTTATATGCTCATCTCTTAGGTAAGCTTCGGCAAACTTAACTGTTGAGATGCTGACCTGAAAAGATAAAATATATCAATATATCAAAAGAATATTTTAATATTTCTTGTTATTACTCAACAGATTTCCATAAACTAAAAGTTGTTATTTTGATATTATTAATTTAATTAAAGGTTAGTTTGCGTTTAAATTTCATTATAAACCTTAGCAAGTAAATAACAGTATTTACTAATGCTGAATTAACCTACAACTTAGGAGGCATGCATTAGAAAATGCAACAGAGAGCATCTCAAAGTATTTGAGAATTATATTTTGTTTATAATTAATTCAAGTTAACCCCATAACAACATTAGTCACATATTACCTTCAAATTGACAAACAGACAAGTAAACACATATATCTCTTTAAAAGTAGATAGTATAAATTTTGAAAAATAAAATAAAATACAAAATATGACTCAAAAGTGAAAAGTACTAGTAAATAAATGGCTGGTTACTAAATATAATAAAGTAAATTTAATTTCAATCTATTATTCAATCAAATAATATTATAATATTAAATTATTTTAAAATCTATATTGTTAATATATATTTACGCAATATATGTTACGAAAATACATATTTGGCCACTATGATAGTGTCTTATCGATCAAATAAGTTATCTAATTAGAATACTACAAATAATGGTGGCTGCCCAATTAGAATTTTAAAAGGTCCTAGTGTCCTTTAATATTTTTAGAAAATCATGATTTCGCATATATTTTAAGATATTTTTATTCAGTCCTGAAGCCTTTGCGAAAGTTATCTAGCTCAATTTTTAGCCTAATTTAACCTAATTCATTTATTATACAAGTCATTAAAAAAACATATTACAGACTTTTATGACCTAGTTTATTTACCATACATGTTCTTTTAAAATTGATCATAATAATATTGTGGTGAAAATTTTCTTGATTTTATCATTTTTTACCTCCCAATTTAGTCATCTATATAGAAGACAATAATATTTTATTTTAAAATCCGTTCATCTGTTCTATTTTTTCTTCTTGTGACTATGTGTGCTAGTAGCTCGGCCCGGCCCATTTAGCCCTAGCCCGCGTGGGTTAGGGCCAAAAAGCCCACAATGGTATAGGCCCACATGGGCCAAAAGCCCTAAGGGTTAGGGCTAGCCCATGGGCCTTCCAAAAATTTAATATGTATTTTTTTGTTTAAAAAAAAATTCATATTTGATATAGCAATGTATCTCAAAAGTCCTTACCTGCATTAAAAATAGATTAAGGAGCAACATTGTCTCATATAAAAACAAGTGACAGCATATTCTCATAGATTATTGGAACACTAATGAAAACAGATTTTATAGTAATGCAGAGGAAACTAATTTTATATAAAATGACTTGTGTGATCCATATGGGGCAACAGATTACAATAAGATGTCAACATTGTAACAAAGAAATTAAATGACTAAATCTTCATAATACCAAGAATTAAGTGAAAAAAGTTAGCATACTTTCCTACAAACTGAATCAAGGCAACAAAATATTCTAATTACATGCATTTCTAGCATTGCTGTCAATGTAAATATTCAAGAATGGAGGCATTGCTATCAATGTAAATTCCAAGCATTGCTGTCAAAAAGTTCAAGAAATTCAGCTGTCATATACTCAAGAATGGATGCCAAATATACAGCAGCAGCAGTGGCCTCAACTTCGCGGGATCAATTCTGCACAAAATCAATGTAAATACTAAATATCATCACAATTAAATCAATTAAGCTCAACCTACACATAATCAATGGATCTAAACTATAAATTTCAACTAGCTACTAACAGAAATACCTCTCTAATCTTCAATTTGAACTTCTTGATGCACATTGGCTTGTGATGTTGTTGTTTCATGATCACTAGTATTAGAATCATCTTCATCTAAAACTTATAACCAATTGAAACAAAACTGCTAAACTAGACAATCAATCCCTACATAACCAAGCAATATTAAAATATTAAGCATAATAACTCAAAGCATTACCATTAAGATTCTCGAGAAAACCATGCAACCAATTCCTAGTGCAAATCAACATTTGGACATTTTCAGGAAGAGTGGAACTTCTATATTTGGTAAGAACACGCCCACCGATACTAAAAGCCGATTCTGATGCCACTGAAGTAATTGGAATACTTAGCACATCTCGGGCCATAATAGAGAGTGTGTGAAATCTATTCTCACTGTGCTTCCAATAATTAAGCACGTCAAAATCCTCCCCATCACCATATTTAGCTTTTGGTTCATCCAAATAAAGATTTAATTCACTCTTACCACCAACAAACATACTTTCATTCTCAAACCTTTCAAACTCCTGCAAAATTTGATATATCAATTATATAAACGAAACAACAATGAAAAAAAATGACTAAATTAGCACGAAAGAACTTACACTTATGTATAATTTTGATTTTTTTGACCTATTGCTTTCACCACTTGACTTGTGTAAGAGATTGGATTTGATGGATGAATGAGAATTAGAAGCACTTGATCCTTTGAGATTGCTCGCATATTCTTCATATAGCTTCTCAAACTTTTCTCTTATATTTTTAACCTTATTTTGGGAGGTAAATGGATCAATTTTTGTGTAACAAAAGTCTAAGAAAACAAGCTTCAAACGCGGGTCAAAAATAGCTCCAAAAGCTAAAACTGTACTATATTCCTTCCAATATTTGTCAAACTTCTCTTTCATCCTCAGTGACATATCACTTAAAGTATAATCATCATTATACAAGTTTTCGTTCAGTATGCACTCGATCTTCCAAACTTGTACAAAGTATAAGTTAGAGGTTGGATAAGATGAACCTGAAATCATGTTTGTAGTCTCGTAAAAGGGTTCTAGGAATTCACATATTTTATCTCCTATTCTCCATTATTCACATGACAGACAATATTTGTAATTCCTATCTATCACTTGGATAATATCACATGCCTTTTCATACTTAAGTGCACTTTCTAGCATCAAATATGTAGAATTCCACCTAGTTGACACATCTAATCTCAAACCAATGCTTGTGTCTATGCCTGCATGTTCCACACAATCTTGAAACTTAATCATCCTCCCATCTGATCCTCTCACATACTTAACACTTTCTCTGATTTTATAAAGTGCTTCAGCAGCCACTTTCAAACCTTCTTGAACAATTAAATTAAGTATATGTGCAGAGCAACGTATATGAAAATATTCACCATCACACAACAAAGTATTCTGCAAAAGGAGATGGTTTAACAATATAAGCTGCATGTTATCATTTACAGCAGCATTGTCCAAAGTAATAGAAAATACTTTCTTCTCAATTCCCCATTGCTTTAAGCAATCAAATATAGCGGCTTCCAATTCAATCTCAGTGTGTGGAGGTTTCAGTCGAGAAAAATTAAGAATCTTGCTAATTAATTTCCATTTTTCATCAACAAAATGGACAGTTAAACAGATGTAACTCTCGCTGTTAGATGCTGTCCAAACGTCAGAAGTTAGACATACTCTATTAGGAAGGCTGGACAAGAGTTTCTTAAGTTTGTCCTTTTCTTGGATGCATATTTTTTTAATATCAGGCACAATTGTATTCCTAGAGGGCATCACAATATCAGGATTCACATAATCAATCCACACTCTGATCAAATCATATTCAACAAAACTAAAAGCAAGATCATGTTTAATTATGGCTTGTGCAAGCAATTCTCGATGGGTCATTTGATTAACCTTTCTCAAGCTAGACTTTTCATGTTGGTCTTTTGATTCAGAGTTTTCCATACTCTTACAAACAGAAATATGACGACTCAAATGTGAAGTTCCATAATTAGTCTTGGTCTTAGGATTTTTACCAATTACGTATTCACGACCACAACAATTACATGTAGATTTTTCAAAACCATCCTTGTCCATACCAATTTTTGTAAAAGACTTCCAAACATATAATGTTTCTCTCCTAATTGTCTCAACACTTCCAGACATTTCATGAGGAGTTTCAGAAACAACTTCATCATCTACGTTCATAGTCTTATTCACATACTCCATCATACAATTTTTCAGTTCCTATACATTAAATGAAATACAATTATTAAAATAAAATGATATCAATAATAATAATAATAATAATAAAATAAAATACAAATTCTTCTGTAAGACATACCAGAAAAGAGACTTGAATATATCTTCCAATGGAGTGGCTATCCTTGGTAAGAAGTCATCCTGATCATGGTAAAGAGTGGTCAATTTCAGAGTTGCAGATTCAGTGCGCATCAAGTACAAAGAAACATAAAGAAAGATAAGAGTTTGTGAAGCAGCTTATGCTCAAAGCTACTAGGCTAAAATTTAAAATTATCTTAAGAATATATATATAAAGTTTAAGCAATATACTATTTAAAAGAATAAACCATTGATAAATTCATTATGGTATCAAGAGCCTAAGGAACGTTTGAATTTTTTTTTCCGGTGAACCCACTGTTCATCGTATTTTACAAAAAAAATTCCCGGAACTATCTCGTTGTCACTTTCCGGACGATTTTCTTCCGCTTCACGCTTTTGTACCGTCAACCACCACCGTCCGGTGGAATTTTTAGGCACGCAGCCTACCGCTGTGATCGTCTTGACAACGCGGTCACACCGGCACCGGCCGCTCCCTCAGAAGACCACCCACGCGCTCTCACGTGCGCGTGCAAGTTTCAGCACCCTCCTCCAACCGGCGGTGCGTGGAGGCACGTGGAGCCTCCGTTTCGGCCGCGGCTGGTTGCGATTTTTTCATCTTGCTGAGACGATTCTGGATATGGTCTTGTTTTTCTATTTCCACATCTTTTTGCGTTGACGCACATATCCCTCTTCTACCGGTTAGTTTTGTGATCTGTTCTTTCTGATTTCTTTTTGATTATGGACCCTCATGTCTCCAATGTTCCTGGTTCTGGGACTCCGGCTGGACAAAAGTTGGAGTCTACTATTTTTTCCAATTATATCCTTGCTCCATTGAGTGTGGATAAATTGGATGGGTCCAACTATGACACTTGGTCTCCCGATCTGCGACTTTGGTTGGATGGGCAGAATTATACATCCCATCTCACCACTAACGCTGAATCTGTGGCGGAAAAGGAGCGCACACGGTGGAAGATGATTGATGTTCAGGTGTGTAGTCTCATTAAAGCTATTCTTCATCTGTCTATCAAGCAGATTTTTCAACCTGCTATTACTTGTGAAGCTATTTGGAGTCAGGCAAAAGCACTGTACACCAATGATACCCAGAGACTCTATGGCGTGGTGAGAAATTTGTGACTACCTTTGCTCTTCGGGACTTCAATTGTCCTATGACTGAATATTTGGGGAAAGCTCAGAGTCTACTTCATGATCTTAATGAACTTCTGCCTCTCACTGGTGATGTTACTAAGGAACAGGAACAGGGTAATACAATGTTTATGTTGTTCATTTTATATGGTTTACCTGACCATTTGTCTGCCAATCGGGATCAAATTTTAGGATCTGCTACAGTTCCTACACTGGATTCTGTGATGTCTACCTTGCTTAGAATTCCCTCTAAGCCCTCTACGTCATCAGCACCTCCTATGATGCCTATAACCCCAGTGGATTCTGTTGACTCTTCCGCTCTTGCTGCTCAAGGGTATGGTCGTGGACGTAGAGAAGATTTTGTTGACTCTTCCGCTCTTGCTGCTCAAGGGTATGGACGTGGACGTCGATTCTCTAAAGGAAAGCTGTTATGCACTCATTGTCATCAGACCAATCATACTGTTGACCGATGTTGGAAGCTTCATGGAAGGCCACCTCCACCTTCTCGGAATGCTCATGTTGCTTAGGCTTTCTCTAGTACCTCTGCTCCAGAGTTACCTTCCAGTGCACAACCTCCAACTGCTCTTCTGAACGAATTTGTGACTTGGTGGTCTGAGAAGCAAACATCAGGTCCTACTGCATCCATTGCTCCCACTGGTAATTCTTTTGCTGGCATATCTCAGTTGCACTCTATTGGCCCTTGGACTCTAGATTCTGGGGCTTCTGATCACATTTCTGGTAATAAGTCCTTATTCACTTCCCTTTGTACTACTGGTTCTTTTCCCACTATTACTATGGCCAACGGGTCTCTAGTCCAATCAAGGGGGATTGACACGGTTCTTCTTTTACCTAATTTATCTCTGGATCATGTTCTATATATTCCTGATTCTCCTTTTAACTTACTTTCTGTTAGTCGGTTGACCAAATCCATTTACTGTGTTGTTTCTTTTACTAAAACCTCTGTCATCTTTCAGGATCGGAGTTCGGGGAAGGAGATTACCAAAGGATGTGAGTCTCAGGGCCTCTATCAACTAGTTCCCTCTTCTTCAGCCTGCTCCACTGTGGATTCTCCTCTTACTATCCATGCTCGTCTGGGCCATCCTAGTCTTGCAAAGCTTCAAAAGATGGTTCCCCATTTATCGTCTCTTTCTACTTTAAATTGTGAGTCTTGTCAGTTTGGGAAACATACTCGTAGTACGTTTCCGAGTCGTCTTAGTCGTCAAGTTGTTTCTCCTTTTTCTGTGGTCCACTCTGATGTTTGGGGACCAAGTCGCCATTCTTCTACTTTGGGTTTTAAGTACTTTGTTACTTTTATTGATGATTATTCCAGATGTACTTGTTATTTTTAATGAAAAAGCGGTCTGAGTTGTTTTCTATTTTTCAGTTATTTTATAATGAAATAAAAACTCAATTTGGTATTCTTATTCGTACTTTTCGTAGTGATAATACATGTGAGTACTTATCTCATCAATTTCAACAATTCTTTTCATCTCATGGCATTCTGCATCAAACATCTTGCCCTCGTACACCTCAACAAAATGGTGTAGCCGAGCGCAAGAATCGCCATCTGGTTGAAACCACTCGTGCCTTGTTAATTGATGGTAATGTTCCATACACATTCTGGGGTGATACTATACTTACTGCATGCTATCTCATTAATCGCATGCCATATCTGTTCTCAATCATAAGGTACCTCACTCAATTTTATTTCCACATCAAGCTTTATATCCTTTAACTCCACATGTGTTTGGTTCTACGTGTTTTGTTCATCATCTTGGTCCAGGTTTGGATAAATTAGCTCCCAAGTCTCATAAATGTGTTTTTCTGGGTTATCCTCGGTCTCAGAAGGGTTACCGTTGCTACTCTCCCACTTTACGTCGATACTTTATCTCAGCGGATGTCTTCTTTTTTGAATCAGTTCCCTTTTTTGGATCCTCTACTACTCCTGTGGATACTGATTCTGTATAGTCGTCCTTCCCAGGTGACCTTCTTTACCTTCCGTCTTTACCCGTCCATGTTTCTGACTCTCCTTCTATCACCTCTTCTGCTGATGAGATCAAGCATAGTTCGTCATATGTATCTGTGGACTCACATTCAACTGCATCTCCTCCTACGGCTTCGGTCCCTTCGGATAGTGACCTTCTCATTGCTCTTCGTAAGGGTACTCATGATACTCGCCCTCTAGCCAGGTATACAGTCAATATTAGTTTTCATCATCTTTCTCCATCATATTTTGCTACTCTTTGTCCTCTGTATATGTTCCTAAGACCACAGGTGATGCGCTTTCACATTCGGGATGGAGACAAGCTATGATTGATGAAATGAGTGTTCTTCATCATAATGGCACATGGGACCTGGTGCCTCTTCCTTCTGGAAAATTTGTGGTTGGTTGCAGATGGATTTATGCTGTTAAGGTTGGACCTGATGGTCAAGTGGATCGTCTTAAAGCTCGCTTGGTGGCGAAGGGTTTCACTCAGGTCTTTGGCTTGGATTCTATTGATAGTTTTTCTCCTGTGGCGAAAATATCTATTGTTCGCCTTTTTATTGCCATGGCTGCTATTAGCCATTGGCCTCTCTACCAACTGGGTATCAAGAATGTTTTTCTTCATGGTGATCTTGAGGAAGAAATTTATATGGAGCAACCTCCTGGATTTGTGGCTCAAGGGGAGTCAAGTCTTGTTAGTCGTCTTCGTAAGTCTCTCTATGGCCTCAAACAATCTCCAAGAGCTTGGTTTGGTAAATTTAGCAGTGTTGTTCAACAATTTGGCATGACTCGGAGTGCAGTTGATCATTCTCTCTTTTATCGTCATTCTGCTTCTGGATCTATTTATCTGGTGGTATATGTGGATGATATTGTCATCACAGGCAGTGATCAGCATGAGATCACTCGATTGAAACAACACTTATGTCATCATTTTCAGACTAAGGATCTTGGGAAACTTCGATACTTCTTAGGAATCGAAATGGCCCAATCTAAAGCTGGTGTTGTGATATCTCAGAGGAAATATGCTCTGGATATTCTTGAAGAAACTGCTTTGTTAAATTCAAAGTCTGTTGATACTTCTATGGATCCAAGTATCAAGCTTCTACCAAATCAGGGGGAGCCCTTTTCAGATCTTGAGCAGTATATAAAATTGGTTGGAAAATTGAACTACCTCACAGTCACTCGGCCTGATATTTCCTTTGCAGTTAGTGTTGTCAGTCAATTTCTCAATTCTCCATGCCAAGAACATTGGAATGCAGTCATTCGTATTCTTAAGTATATCAAGGCATCTCCAGGGAAAGGCCTTGAATATGAAGATAAAGGTCATGATAAAGTGGTTGGGTACTGTGATGCTGATTGGGCTGGTTGTCCAACTGATAGGAGATCCACTTCTGGGTATTGTGTCTTTGTTGGAGGCAACTTGATTTCCTGGAAAAGTAAGAAACAAAGCGTAGTAGCCAGATCAAGTGCTGAAGCAGAATACCGCTCCATGGCGACTACTACTTGCGAGCTCATCTGGCTTAAACAGCTTATCAGAGAACTTAAGTTTGGAGACACTGGACATGCAACTCTCATTTGTGATAATCAAGCAGCTCTACACATTTCATCAAATCAGTGTTTCATGAAAGAACCAAGCATATAGAAATAGATTGCCACTTTGTTCGAGAAAAGGTTCTTGCTGAGTTGCTGGTGAAATTAAAACCAGCTTTGTACCCTCTAATGAGCAATTAGCAGATGTGTTTACAAAATCTTTGAGGGGCCC